TGTGCTGATTGGCCGACGGCTGCATCCTTATCTTCCGCGTCGCGGCGAATCAGCGCCGCGGACCTCGCCACGCTTGCCTGCCGGCTGACTCGGCAATTATTTAGAGCGAGATGCGCCGGTGCTGAGTGAGGCAATTAAGCGGAGCGAGACAGCGCCGGTGCTGAGGTGATTGTGGCGTCCACCACATTCTTTTCTAAGCATTTGTGAACTAAGAAACCTACCCCTAATTCCTGGTTGCTACCTTGGGGTTTTCCTCTCCAAAAGAGCACGTGTCCATCATTTAGTATCTTCTGTTCTTCGCCTAGTCTTCTAAAATCACAGAGTCCTACAACATCCCATTTAATGAAAGAGAGTTCCTCAAGTAATGCTAGTAAGTCGGATTCAGTTCTCATGGTCCTTATACTCTTAGCCGGATATTTTTAGCACCCTCTGCTCCGGGAGGAATCCTGATCGCCGCCGTAACCAGGGGCTCCTTCGCCTCCGGGGAGTGAGGGCCGTTGCTCCGTCTGTGCAGTCATGGTTTTTGATTAAGTGGACAGTTACTCCCTTCCTGCTTGCTTAGGGGTATCTTGGAGGGGCAGTAGGTAAGCCGGGATGCCACTGATAAGTCCCTCCTGCCTCGTGTGTGTGTGTGATATATATAGATAGATAGATAGATAGATAGATAGATAGATAGATAGATAGATAGATAGATAGATAGATAGATAGATAGATAGATATAGATAGATAGATAGATAGATAGATAGATAGATAGATAGATAGATATAGATAGATAGATAGATAAATAGATAGATAGATATAGATATGTAGATATATACAGACGTCAAGCAGCAGGAGAGGGTCCTGTCACGTAAGCAGTCGTCTAAGGCCCCTGCCAAGACTGCCAAGAGACCTGCTGAGGCGCTGCAGAAGTTCCAGCGAACGGCCGCCACGTGTCAGACGCGCGTTGTCGGGCAGCAGGAGGGGGGGGAGAGGGGAGAGGGTCCCTCCCGAGATCCCGAGGCGGACGCCGCTGACCCAGAGGAATTCCTACTCGGTGAGCCCGGGCCACTTGGCCGCAGTGAAAGAGGAAAAGGAAGAAAAAATGAATAAAAAGAGAAAATTAAATATAAAAAAAATGAGAAAAAAAATAAATAAACAAATAAATAAAATTAGAATATATATATATATATATATTATATATATATATAAGATAAGAAACTGAAAAAAAAAAAAATAAAAACCGAAAATATAAGATAAGAAAACAGTGGAAATAAAAGAGAAAAAGAAAGAAAAATATGAACAAAATGAAAAATATATATGCATGATAAAACATAAAATAAAAAACAAAAAATAGAAGACAGTAAAAAAGAAAAAAAAAGAGACGAAACAAAACGAAACGAAAAATGCATATGTATGAGAAAATAGAAAATAAAAATATATATATAAGATAAGAAAACAGTGAAAAAGAGAAAAAGAAGAAAAGAGTTGTGGGAAAACCTTCTTACATTTAGTTAGTACGTTGTGTTTTTTCTACCATACTTACATATATGTATATATACATTCTGTATATTTACATATATATGTATATATATATATATATATATATATATATATGTGTGTGTGTGTGTGTGTGTGTGTGTGTGTGTGTGTGTGTGTGTGTGTGTGTGGCAGAGTATTTTTCCATCCACAGATATGTATGTATGTGTGTCTTAATGTATGTATATAAGACTATATATATATATGTGTTAATATATATATATGTATATATATATATATATATATTATATATATATATATATATATATATATATATATATATATATATTATATATATATTATATATAATCATACTTATGTGCATGTTTGTATGCTTGTGCCACAATACTAACAACCGTTCGTGAATGCGGATTCAGATATGCAAACGCCGCGGACGAACGGGCGGATGTAAACACTGTGACGCACCTACACAAGACCTCGGGCGAAGAGTGTCAAATTCGTTATTTCTTATCTATTTTCTGGTCGTAAGTTATGGAGATAAGGCTTTATAAATTGTACTGGCTCTTTATCTTTCTTTCCAGCAGGAGAGAGGTTACAAATTTTGTTTTTTTTCAAGTTATGGACGTGAGAGAATGTTTGAGTAGAGAAAAACGGCTTGGGCTGAATATGATTCCTTTGTCACGAACAAATGACTGTTTTGTTTTTTTTTTTTTCAGCTGATTTAAGTATTTTAGTGGTGGTATGCATGGCAGGAGGCTAGTCCTGACATCAAACATTTCTTCTTTATATGCCGTATTAATGTAATTGTTTTGAGAGTTGGAGTGTATCAATAGAAATTTGAAAATTTAGTGATATGAATAGTGGGTGGACAATCATTACTGTTACATAATACCCAAAACATTTAGACTACAGAACACTTATTGAAATATCTCTAGCCTCAACCCAATGTAAAAAAAAAAATGTGTGAAAGGAAGATCCCAGTTGTGTTAGTTTAACCATATATTTCTATATTGCTGATAAAGCATTACCAGGCATTGTGGATGTGTGCAGTCAGTATTTCCTGATGCTATTGAAATATTTACAGCTTGTAAAGGAGAGTGTTTAGGAAGAGCTCAAAATTTCAATTTAGTATACAATTATGCATTGTAAATTTTCTGATTTTTTCTGCTCAAAGGGTGAATTAGGAATGGTAGACATCTGTATTTTATATGATTCATTAGTAATTCTTTCCAGTATGGATGCACTTGCCTGAGACTAAGTCCCCAACTCCATGTCTAAAGATTTATTCATCAATCTAAGTTGCCAAGGTTGGCCGTGCCCAACTGCCTGAGGGGAGGGTGGGTCCTGCCCCCGAACCCCCCCAGGAAACATTGTCGTCACCTTGGTATGCATGGCAAGATAGAGCTGTACTGACATCAGCAACTTTTTCTCCTCTACAAGTATATCATATTTAATTTGCCCTCACTTAGTGTGGCAGTGATGATAGATACAAAGATTTATTATTTTCTTGGTAAAGGTGACCTCATTATATTATATAATATTTGTTTCAGTAAGATCCAATTTTTGGGGCTCAAATTAAAATTACTTGTTAG